CCCAGGCCCCTCCCGCCGCTCGGGGCCGCCGGCGGGTGCGTGAGGCAGCCCCGGGGGCAGGAGCGGGGCGGCAGCGATTTGCTCCGGGCGCTGCCGAATCCTCCAACGGAGCGACTGGGGCCAGCGCCGGCCGGGGCGGGATGCGGCGGACCCTGCGCCACCGGCGTCCCCAGGAATCCATCGTACCGGGAAACGTTCACCATCGCCCTTTTCACAGCCACAGAGGGGCGTACCTAGGAACTCATGCAGAATACAGTTGGAGGAAAACACCTACATTTCTGGAGGAAAACGAAGGCAGTTTCCCGGCGTCACTCTCCCTTTTCTGTCAGGGCTCTGCCTTCGTGTCTGTCTGTGCGATCTGCAGCTGCCTCCCAGCCCCTGCCTGACCGCGGGCTGGGGCCTGCCCAGGAATCCTGAACCCGAGGCGGTGGCTGTTGGCCTCCCTCAGGTGCTGCACTGATTCAGCAATCTGTAAGATTGTACATTGCTAAATAAAACACCTCATGGCATTAACCCACTACTGTTAGAGACTCCCTTACTGAAGAGCAGGGGAGAGAGTCGATTGTGAATGCTGCACACCTAAAACGGCGCGGACTGTGAATACCACACCAATACACTTAAAAGACCTTTCCATGACATTTTACGGATGGGAAACTTGAAATTACTCGCTAAAATACATTATGAATCAGTAACATGACCAGAAATTTGGCTAACAGTTCTAGCAATGAGAGTTAATTTGAACAACACAAGCAAAAAAAATTTTTAAAAGTAGTTAAAGATAACACTTTTTCTCAACGTACATACCAGCTATAAAAATTTCGGGTTAACTTTGGAGTTCTACAGCTCAAGCTAGTTCAAAAAGAGTTACATAATCATAATCAAACAGCATAATTGTGGTGTTCCTGATTTCAGTCTTGAGCCCTCAGTTTGCAGGCATGTTTTGGGAAATCTAAGAGGAGGAATGATACAAGTTTAATAAACAAAATGCCCTAGGACACCCATTCAGCATATTACAGGAAACGACTGTTCCTCAGATGTCTGTGCCCATTCAGCTAACAGAGCACCTCTACCCTTCTCACTGTCATTAGAAAAATATAGAAATGATACAGAAATATTAAAGAACAAGCTTTACACCTCTTTTTAAAGATATTTTGTGCAAGGCAACTTCAACTTCTGGTTTTCAGCTGCTTTTATATCATCCAATTTTTTTCAAAGAGATGCCATGTGACAAAAGAGAACCCACTCACAACCAAAACACCTGCTGAGCACCATTAAAATAAAGAGTCTGAAGGCTCATCAGTAAATTATCTAAACTAAAACCAGCATACTTCACTAGAAAGGAAGAGAGCAAACTGGAACACTTTAAGAAAACAGACAGAAACATCAACAGGAGAGGAAATTAGCAAGGAAGAAAAGTTATGCACATTTTTCTATTGGTTAAATCCCTGCTCTTTTCTGTGGAGATACATGATGGCATGTGTATGATTCAAGCTTGCCATTCAAGTATAATAATTGCTGTAAATTTAATTTTACCAAAATAGTAATGAAGACACTAGCTGCTAGTGAGCAAAGCAATACACTAGTAATGTCAGAAGAGGTGATGCTGTCTCGCTGTCACTGCTGCAGTAGCTGTTACTGCCTCAACCTTCCCAGCTGTTCAGCTGAATGAGGGTACAAGCAGAAAACGCAACTATGATGTAGTGTAGCTGGTAATGTTGTTCTGAGAAAACTAATACTAGATGTAGTATGGCAGGTAAAACATTAGTCAGTAGAGAACCTGAGGAAAAAAAATTGGTTTGCATCAAATAAGTAGTTTTCCCAATGATCTAAGCACACTTAAACACTCTTATAAGCCTACCAACATATGTTCAAAACACTGATTAATCTTCAAATCTCTGGAACACGTCAGCAAACCTTTTTATTGAAGTCTTCACAAAGGTGATGAAAAGGAAAGGTGTGAAGCACTCAGTGGTGGAGCTAATGTTAGAATGCAAGACGGCTTGATTTTTTTATTCTAGGTAACATGAATTATTTGCAAGAGGACTTTAGAAAAGCAAAGTATTGTTTGACAAGATGTTCTGGGGAGGGCAATGTTAACAAAAATTTTATTAAAAACCAGGCACTGACTGTTCTTTCTCAGCAGAGACAAGAATCATAAGGGAGTATATAAAACAAGGCTCTAAGATGAAACATGGCAGGCTTCGCTGAAAAT